CAGTGCTTGAAGTTCACATGGTGCAAACAAAATGGCTGCCCAAATTTGAAGCAACTTTGACAGTCTCTATTTCTGGATCAAAAGTCCTGATTTCTTTCATATTCCGGAATATGTTGGTTTGATATATGTATTGAAGTTTTATCTTACTTTCAAAAAGATCGTGTCACATTTTTGAATTTATGCCAGCGCTTGAACCAAACACACTTTGTTCAGTGGGTGGGAGGGGGGCAAATACATTGTGGATTCAATTTCTCGACATCGGTTCCACTGATTATTTTCAGGTTTTCAGTGTTAAAAGGGCCCATATAGTAGTAATCAAATCAGTACTTCAAATGCGATTTCGAACTACCATACTATCACAGATCAAATTTTAATGTCGTCAGAGGGCACAAACTGCAGTTTCCCAGGACGAAAGGTTCAGAAACAGGGCAATCGGCTCTTCTATAAGTACAAGTCACATGAAAGATGAAGCACCCATGTATCCTACGTCTGTACGTACCTGGTATGTAGTCTTGCGTGGTCATCCTGGTGAACTGTGATCTGTTTTCCAACATGTACTTCATGAGCCGCCATCTTGCTTGGCGGCCATTTTGTAACAAGCCTAAATTCCCATAAGGTAGCAGAACACAGTTTTCGTCCTATGGGGATTCCTATAGTTAAGCACCTCGAGGTGACTCACTTCAACGCGGTAAAAATTATAGTAGGGTGCACTATTGAATCACGGCCAACTAATATGTTGAAATATACGGTATATTCTACAAAATAACTGAAAACCAAAAAAAGTTATCGTTTTTTAACATAATGACGACCACTTTGATTTGGCCCTCTATCGGGGTCAACGGAACTGCAGCCGGCTCACCCTGGAACGTGGTTGCGTAATGCCGCGCATTTATACACGAACAGGGAAATCTTCACAATCCAACTCATACTGTGTACAAGCCGATACCTTTCCTTACCACACAGTGCAGTTCATTCATGGCTACCTCTCACATAAGTCGCTTTAGACAGGATGCGAGAGGTTTGTCTGCACTACTTTCTATACCCGCGTCATAGACTCCGGGGGTCGCGGATAATTACTGTGTTCTGCGACCATAAAGCATTGAGTCACCCCACCCCTTCCCACCCTGTTTCAAGCAAAGCTGTTCAGGTCAGGGGTCACATAAAAGCGCCACGTACATGTAGCGGTTTATTTACAAAGTGCACCTCTTAAGATTGGTGTCGTTTTCCTATTTCAGGACCATTAATATCATCCTCATTGAATAAAATTTGATTGACCCATGTTCAAATAATTAGTGGTTACGGTGCAAAAAAAACTGAATAAATATTTGAATAAATGAAAGTTCTTTTTTTATCGACCACACAAATGCGCCCCCATCGGTTACTTAACTTCCTGCAGCGTTAACTCGTGGGGGGCAGTTGCCGACACTTATTTTCGAAATTCTGTCTTTTTGCTTAATTTAACTTAGAGGAGATTTGTCTATAATAGTCCGGAGAGTATCTACGACAATTTGAAGTACAACTTACCACCAAAACGGCCGTGGCGCGTCTTCCTGGGTGGAATTTTTACCCGCTCGTTCTTTCCTTCCCCACTGCACGCTCGCCATCTTGGAAAGGCGTGTTTCACGCACATGTGTGCATGCCACCTGTAAATCATGAGCAAAATTTGCATTCGATAATCAAGTTTTAGATTAGATTAACGACAAGCCAATAGGCAATCATCACACATACAGGCCAGAAAAATACGGCTTCATATCACGAATTCGAAATTTTCAATTTTTCTATCCTCATCATTCAACTTTATAAATTTAGGAGGAAAACACACTTAAGTAATTTTCAAATAAATGATCTTTCTTTGACCCATCTTTCTTTTGATTGCGATATGAACATTTCTAGCTGGTAGGTGACAACTTAAAAACATTACAGTTATTGAGACATAGTGCCTTTAGGAATTCTAATGCGTCAAAAAAAGACTCGGTACAACGAGAGCAAATTTCACGCGACATACGTGTAGAATATTACTTCGATCTTGGAGTGTTCATTTCTCTTTATCGACGATTAATAAACTAAAAATATGTAACATTAGTTTCACCTTGTTTTGAATCGACCATAATATCACAAAGGCATTTTATGTGTATCATAATACAACGGAATATAGCTGAAACGTCCGCAATTTGTGACTAAAAGGACGCTTCTGCAGCGTGTACTGTAAACGCGTTTACTGTAAACGCGTTTACTGTAAACGCGTGTCCTGTAAACGCGTGTCCTGTAAACGCGTGTACTGTAAACACGTGTACTGTAAACGCGTGTACTGTAAACGCGTGTGCTGTAAACGCGTGTGTTGTGAACGCGTGTACTGTAAACGCGTGTACTGTAAACGCGTGTACTGTAAACGCGTGTACTGTAAACGCGTGTACTGTAAACGCGTGTACTGTAAACGCGTGAACTGTAAACGCTGGTACTGTAAACTGTAAACGCGTGTACTGTAAACGCGTGTACTGTAAACGCGTGTACTGTAATCCGATCTTACTGTAAACGCGTGTACTGTAAACGCGTGTACTGTAAACGCGTGTACTGTAAACGCGTGTACTGTAAACGCGTGTACTGTAAACGCGTGTACTGTAAACGCGTGTGGTGTAAACGCGTGTACTGTAAACGCGTGTACTGTAAACGCGTGTGGTGTAAACGCGTGTACTGTAAACGCGTGTACTGTAAACGCGTGTGCTGTAAACGCGTGTACTGTAAACGCGTGTACTGTAAACGCGTGTGGTGTAAACGCGTGTACTGTAAACGCGTGTACTGTAAACGCGTGTGCTGTAAACGCGTGTACTGTAAACGTGTTTACTGTAAACGCGTTTACTGTAAACGCGTGTCCTGTAAACGCGTGTCCTGTAAACGCGTGTGCTGTAAACGCGTACTGGCGAAGCAAGTCTTAGATTGTTATGCAATAAAATGGCCATTTAACAGGTCTTAGCTGAGCATTAATTCGATTAAAAGGTGGACCAATCAAATCAACGCATTTCGTCTGATAACGAGGATAAAAAATATGCATGCATTAAGTCCAGGTGCCGCATTACGTCATGCAAGGTAGTTACGTAATCCCCCAGACGAACCAAGTAGATACACTGCGTAAAATTTAGGCAGGAATGGGTGTAAACATTGGCGTTTAAAGTAAAAATAGCGCAAGCAATTACAGAACTAGTTGTTGCAATATTTTCTATATGATCCATTCTTCACGTCTAATTGTTTTCTGGACGGTTAGAACTGATAATAAGAACAAAATCAAGGAAAATATGTTTAGTATCGAAAAATTAAACAAACATCAATAAAACGCATAAACTTTTCGTTCCAGTTTTCCACCAAACCCTTTATAGAAGTGTAATAATTCATACCTGAGGTGTCCAGAAGAATCTTTCCATCCCTGGCAGGCTGGCACCTTTTTTTTTTTACAAAGTTTACTCCCTCACGTTTTGGATGTTGTGATGCATCCACAGGTGCCATAATGCCAATTCATCACACGTGTCAATGAGGGCCTCTAGCAGTTCACGGAATTATTGCAGGTACTTGAGGAGATTTTTACATGCAATAATTTCACCGACTGCTAGAAGTCGCTTTTGATACATGGCGCAGAGGGTCATTAACCGATGTATCCTTGATGCTGATTGGTTCTCATCATGCCTACATGTTTGAGTCGTCGAGCCTGATTGGACAATAGAGAGAAACAATTATGACGTCTGCCTCTTTGACCAAATATGGACAACAGACTCAAGGCTATAAAGCCGCTTTACTTGTCATGTAAACAACTGGAGTTACGATGGCTTTTCGGACGAACGAGACTATTTTAGGCAGTTATTTCCCCCCAGATAAGCTACTGAGTCGTAAGAACTGCCTCTAAAAAGAAAAGCAGCCGATTTATGAGGCTAGGGGAGGTGAAAATGCTCGGCAACCACGTAAATATTCTTACGAACAGGGGAGGGGGACATTGTGTGGGGATAGCTTTCAGCACCAAGGACAGGGATAGCTTCAGATTGAACCTTCATGACTACAAACTGAATATTAATACACCGACTGCAGTATACGAAGGAAATCAATGTGTGAATTCTTCATTGTCGATCTCAATATCATATGAATGGAAACAGAGCCTCTGCCAGGCGTATAACTATGGCAATCCCCAAGCTGTTACGATTTTGCCTTCCACCATGCATCTGCTTGGTTTACATTCATATAATAATGAGATCGACACGGAAAAGTTCACTTCTGCAAAGGATTTGACCACTTCTGCAAGCGATCAGCTGATCGCAAAACCACGTTTTGACGTATAACTTGAGAATGAAGCAAATTTGATGGAAGGGAATAAGTAGGAATAGAATAGAGACCGTAAGGAGTATACGCTGAAAACAAGGAGGCCGAGAAATGCCAAAAGTTTAATTTTTCTGGAATTCAAAAAGCGGATATTCATCCCCTATCACACCCCCGTTTTAGAGCCCCCGTTCCGAAAAGGTCCGTATCTCGCTAAGAGAGCGTCTTTCATTCCCAAATTTCGGCATTTGGCGAGTTGGGAAACGAGATGGGCTCTCATGGGGGTTTTACTCCAGGTCTTTCCTGCTCTTGTTCTTGACCATGAGACTCACTTCAGCTAACTAAATATCACGAATATACAGAGAAAGAACCGTTTTAGTCTTGCATCTTTTCATTTTGAGACAAACATTACTAGAACTACTTGCGTACGAGCGCCTGAATACAGAGTTTTTAAAAAATATTTTTTGCCATTTCAGTGTTCATTTCAATGATCTCTGACAAACGTACCATCTATTTAAAATATAAATCTTAATTTTATACCTTTTTTATATAAATTGAAATACTCAGATAAATCACATACAGTTGTATCAAACATTCTGTACATTAACTTCAAGCAAGTATAATGAAATGGGTCGGGCATCAAAGTTAATAGCCCCCAACCCTAACCCTAGTCTACCTAGTATTTGTAAAAACAAGAGATTATAAAAAGTGCTTGCAATCCTTTATTTCTTCATAACAAAGTATATACAATAGTTGTGCAAACATAACAATCAGGTAAATAGAGGCTTTGGTGACATGTACTTTGCCTTTCCATGAAAGTAACTGAGAAGCAAAATATCCCTTTTCCAGAGGTAAAATTAAAGAATATTGTAGAGAATATTTAATGTTTTTTTAAACATAGCAATTTCTGTACATGACTTGTTTTGTTACTTCAGACATAAACTTGTACTTACAGGGAAAAAAGATGAGAAAGGGATATTCTACCATTCATTGTTACAGAGAAGCGAATGAGAATACCTTCATAAGAACTAGGCAAAAAACATTTTTATAACACAATCTTCACTGTCCTGTAAATAACTTGAGAGGAGAGAAGTGTTCTTTCTCCTCATCTTTTTAACTTAGTGATTAAAACTTTGTTTTGCAATTAATTTCCATCGGTAATATATGAATAAAGTTTGTACACGTCATTCACAATTCACACACAAACAGCTGAGGCACTTTGAACCAAAGGTGGCTACGAATACTTGTAACCACCCCAGTTCTAAAAGGGTGCTAGAGGTACACAGTACCAAGTTTTCAGTGCCATACAAGATTGTACTCACTTCACAACATTGCTAACACATACTACACAGTGCATTCTTCGTAAAACACAGCCAAATTTGAATCGCAGCAAAACAGCCTACATGTGGTAACTTGTATATCCCCCCCTAGAAGTTATATCAAACCCTCAGCAGTATTTCTAATGCTGCTTTAAGTCATATGAACTGTACACATTGTAAGATCCAAAATTTATCTAAGGGTGAACCTCAATCACACATTTTTTTTCACATTTTTGAAGTTTGATCTCAGCATTCGGATTTCGTTTGAAGCATGTGAGCATTGTATAAAGCATGGCACAACAAGTGGTGTAAAATGTGCAGACTTTAGAAAACTTTCACATCAAAGTTTTCAAATGTCATTCTTACAGTGCAGATAAAACCCTATGTTTGTGTTACGATTAACTGCAATTTCATGGTTGTCATTAGATGCACATGGGTGATTTGTTTGTGGAAGTCTTATAGAGGACTGAGTGTTATTATTTTGTAATATCTATACATTTTGTAACACAGAAAATCTGAACATTTGGAACAGAGAAGCATAGCAGAATTGTAGTATGCATAGCTGGCATGTAGGACACATGTTAACACTGTAACATATTGAGAAAGTTACTGACAATCCCCTAGTTCATTTGCATTTCATGGTAACAAAGTGAAGTCTAGAATTTACAGAAGTGCATTCAAGAGCTTGCATCCTTTATACATAATCAGCATCAGAAGCAGACACACAGAGGCAAATAAACAGCAAATTATAGGGCATATCACAAAATACTTGAGAACTACTTTCAATGCAGATTCCTCAACACAAATTGCCACAAACGGATGAGTGTATAGATGGCACTATCATTGAAATGTAGCACTACCTTTCTGTTTCCATGTATGCCTGTTATAGGATCCTTTCTGTGTCAACCAATAGTTTGTGCAAATGGCTCGTCCCGTCTCTTTCCAACTTTGAGACTAGTGATCCGGTGGAAAGACTGGGGGAAGTTTACTCAACAAATCCCAACTGCGTATGTATTGCTTGACCACAAAGTATGAATCAGGTATATCTTGTGCCCCTAAAAAGGCCCAGAAACACAAACTTATTGCCATGATTACTTCAGACAGAGCCCTACAGTTAGAAACTTGGGCATACAGGCAATGGACACCTGCAGTGGACATTTCTGTTTAAAATTCTGATGGAGAAAAACACTTTGACTAAATTGCCTATCTAAGTGCCCTCAAACTCGTTGTTTTTTTTCCGAAAGTCTAAAAAAATGTCTTCAAATTGGTTTGACAAGAATAAGAGCTTCTGGAAGGCTAGAACTCTCTATTGCAGACTAACAAACTGGACATACTTTATACAACAGCTAGCACAGCATTTCCACCTGATGTCATCCCCTGACAAAGTAAGGCGATGAAAATAAGATTTTAATTAAGGTATCATTCACCATGTAAACATAGATAGTGGTACCGTAAATAGTTTTGTTACATCTTTTAGAATTTTGGGTTAGAAAAACTTTATTAGTAAGAAACAAATCACTGAACTGAATAAATCAATAAATAAATCATTTCACTTTGTGTAGATGAATGGAAAGCTGCGAATGACATGTTTAGTACAAGTTAGACAAGTGAATTTGACCTCTCAGGACAATGTTACCACAATTTGGGATGGAGAAATTAGATATCTAAATGCAGCTCACTTTCAGCTTTCAAAATACCCTATCCAAAAATGGCTTGGTCCAACTTGCTCTATGCTAAGGGGAAAAAAAGCAGTGCACAAGGCAAGGCAGCACTAGCCATCCCTTTCCAAGAATGGAACAATCTACCAGTCTTGTTGAAATGGTCTGGTCTTAGATCACACCATTTTTATCAACAGGGGGTTCTTTTTCTGTGTGGTCATCAAGGTTCTTTACAAAGGGGGCCGTTTGATGTTTTTGCTGGCGATCTCTTCTTCTTTCATCTTGATGCGAAAAGTGTCCAGTTTCTGCTTCAGCTCAGACCACTTCTGGATCTTCTTGTCCAGCAGGTCTGACAGTGTGGATGAGTAGGCTGGAAAAGAGAAACCATCATTTTAGTTCTACGTTTTAAAATTTAATCTGTTGACACTATAAAACAAGCCAGCCACAACTGCATGTTCCAGTCCTATTACCCCTGAATACATTTTCCTTAGAATTAATGAGAACTTCAAAATGTAGTTGTTATCAACCAATATTATAGCTACATAGCTAGTTTACTAGTTACTGTTAGCTATAAACAACACTGTTTTGGTGTGACACAATAGAGAGAACTTAACTGCACAACAATTTTAAGTGGTACGACATAAGAAGTATACAATAATAACAGGTGTGAACTAAAATATAGACAAAATACAGACCTTCCACATCATAGTCCACTTCATCAGTCATCTCCAGCAGGCCTCGTTCTACAATCACCATCTCCTCCATTTCCTGGGGAAACATGGCACACATGTCATGACAATTTATCTGTGTTGGCAAGCACTGCTGGAGTCAAGCACCCATTAAGTCATTTTTTTTCTGTAGCATGTGTGTGTACGTGTGTGATTCTTTTGGGGAAAAAACAGAAGGCTCTGTTGAAAACGGTGTAACTGATTTCTTTTCGGTTGGACCTTATTATCATACCTACATTCATTTTTATTCTACGTTCATTTTATACATGTATCTTTTCTCTGCTGTCTCACAACCCCCTAACTTAAGAGAATTGGTAGCCAAACTTCAGTGTGTTGAACATTACTATGCCCAAAATGTTCTAACATTGAACTTTTGATGAAATACAGATACCACACCAAACCTGGTTCCTACCTGTACAGCACTCCTGTACAGCCCTAGTCCTTACCTGTACAGCGCTCCTGTGCAGCCCTAGTCCTTACCTGTACAGCCCTAGTCCTTACCTGTACAGCACTCCTGTACAGCCCTAGTCCTTACCTCTACAGCGCTCCTGTACAGCCCTAGTCCTTACCTGTACAGCGCTCCTGTACAGCCCTAGTCCTTACCTGTACAGCACTCCTGTACAGCCCTAGTCCTTACCTGTACAGCACTCCTGTACAGCCCTAGTCCTTACCTGTACAGCACTCCTGTACAGCCCTAGTCCTTACCTGTACAGCACTCCTGTACAGCCCTTGTCCTTACCTGTACAGCGCTCCTGTGGTCCTCCACCACCTGTTCCTCCATCTCCTGCAGCTCCTGCAGCGCCTCGTGGAAGTGCAGCAGCTCAAACGACACCTCCCCCTCGTTCTGCGTGGCCAGCAGCTGCAGGTCAGAGTTCTGCGGAGACAGGCTGTTGTTCCGGCTGTTCTCCGGGATGGCGGACAGACCCTGGGACGGTCCGGGGGCACCCGGGTCACCTGGACCCAGCTCCTTAACCCTGGGTCAAAGCAAAGGGCAAAAAATTTCAGTGAACAAGTAAGAAATATTTTCAGACAGCACGTTGGCAGAACGTACTGCGCCTGCGCGAAACCACAATTTTTCAGTTTTTGTTGGATCGATGTTTGGTCACCGTTGCATTAGAATTTTCCTGTTGCAGACGATATCTTTTCTGACATGACATTTGAAAACTACACACTGGATATTAACCTATAAGCGAATACGACGTTAAATGAGACGTTCTGCCAAAGTACAATGCACAATACACGGGTTTCGCGCTGGTGAAGTACATTCTTTCGATGTGCTTTTTCAGACTATCTTCAAAATACTGAATCACAGATTTTTTTTGCCTTGCTTCTATGCAACGTTGAGGCACATTTGAAGAGCTCATAGCATTTCACACATGCAGACAACCAGAGTATTGGCAATTCCAATGCATTGATTGACCCCTTCCCTTTTATAGCAGCTTTACGCGAGGTTGGAAGATCAAAAAAAATTTTCTTGTCATCATACCACTGCCTGACAACACTTTTGTGTGGCCATGGCCAATACATGCAATGTTGAGTACATGCACAAACAAACACATGCATACACACACACACACACACATGCATCTCCTCTTCTCAGGCCTTATCACAACACAACTACAACCAGGCCGTATACAAGCAAGGAAAGACAGTCAGCTTAGACAGAAGCATATAGCATACTCAGGACTGCCCAGGTCATAGCCAGGGCTGAGGAGACCGTAAGGGCCATGCTGGTTTGAGGCCTCCCGTTCAAAATCCTGGAGGGGGGTGCAGCCATACTCCTTAACCCTACAGGGTGGGCATGTTCCAAGGAAGAAAAAAGGTGGACAGAATGTTAGAAAAGAAGAGTCAGTGAACACCAGTGAAGGGTGGTTATGGAAGTGTAGAACAGATGACACCGGTCACATTCATATGGAAAGACACTGGAAGTTCAGAAAACCGTATAAAGTGAATGTAACATAAAGAGAGAGCTTTTCTTTTTATTTATTACTATACATCAGTGTTAGAAATACCCATCTGCAGTCTGCATTTTGCAGAGACATTTTCAATATTGCAGAAGAAAAATCCAGCAACCTGCAATTTTGCAGACTGAAAAAAATCAGGCTAGGGATTTAATGGTGTTTAAGGTCTTTTGTGTTTACTACAGTGACTATATTATACTAGTAATTTTGCATGTATTTTTCAAATTGCATGTAAAATATTTGCCGACATGCAACTTTGTAAATTTTGGGTTTAGACCCGGACTTTTAAGTGTGTATTTGCAGCAAATGTTTCAAAATTGCAGAACAAAATTTCGACATTCTGCAATATTACAGTAAACTGAAACAAGGGATTACTACCACTAGCATTTAGCAATATTTTCCAAATTCCCAGCATCTTCCCGTATTTTTAGTGACCAGTGTAAGAAGGTTCCAGGTGATGGTGAGGAGGTAATGGTTAAGTGTGACCTTACCTGTCGGCGTATCTGAGAGTGTTGAGGGTGTGTTCACAGCTGGCCGATCCAGGTGAGATCATAGCAATCTGCAGGACAGAGAAAAAACGTTAGGCCCAAACACCGAGTCTACTCTGTAAACACCCATCTAGCAGACATTTTGTACATTCAGAGTTCAGATTGTCTCTCACTCTCTCTATCCGATTTATCGTTTGTTGTTCCCTATGAACCAATGGTTAGACGTGTGCGACTAGGAATATCTAAATTTAAGGTTAAAATTTGGATGAATACAGAGCTTATTTATCCTAACAGAGTTAATGAAACTAGGTGCAACTCTAAAGCTGAGCAGACATTGAGGTTGCATGTTGGCAGAATGTACTGCACCTGTGCGAAACCCATAATGCATTGTACAAAGCACTTTGGCAGAGCATCTCATATAAGGTCGTATTCGCGTATATAAGGTAAACATCCCGTCTGTAGTTTCCAAATGTTATGTCGGAAAAAATGTCTTCTGCAACAGGCAAAATTCTGATGTAACGGTGACCAAATATCCAACAAAAAAACATGAAAAATCAGGGTTTCTGCGCAGTACGTTCTGCCGATGTGCTGATTGAAGTAAAACTCACCATGCATGTCTTCGACCTCTCCCCGATGAAAGAGTCTCTGAGCACTTGGGTCAGCTTGCTGGCACGGAAGGGTGTGTGGACTGAGTTAGGCCGGCCCAGGGCTCGTATACACTCCTGTCACAGGGTCAGAGATACGACAGATGAACTCTCACATAAGGATGGTTCTAAATTGCAGAAAATTCACTGCTTTTAGAAACTTGGGGCTCAGTGTGCAAACTTTTGAATTACAGAATTTCATGCGGGGCAATCCCAGCTAGCCTAAATTGCAGGCTACCAAAAGGCTTGAATTCTGTATCAGTATAGCCAGTATAACCGCCCTTCGGCATAACACACCAGCTTAATTCCCAAAGCAGAATTCACCAAAACAAGACTCTAACATGTACTCATTGAACTGTTTCTTTTTCCCAAAATGGGCTCTCCCCTTATATTGAACATGTATACACTGATTGGATACAGTGTCTGGCTTTTTCACTGTGACTGGTAGAAGATTACCCTGAAGTTCACATTCAGCTAACCTAGGTTGAGATACCTTCCCATGTTCTAACACTTACCTTGAGAGCGAGTAAACTCTTGTTGATCTCAGCTCCCTCCATGCGAGTCTGTCGGTCAGAACTGATGGTGTCTGCACCTCTCTCATTACCTGCACAAAAGGGTTGACAGAAACACTTTCAGTAACTGTAAACTTATTTCCAACACTTAAATGTTGACTGGTTTGATATATTCACCAGTGGTATACTTTTTTCAGTGTTATGCAATATTGCAAAATTTTCTTCCGCATTTCAGAAATACTTTCTGCAAATACACATTTAAAAGTCTGGATCTAAACCCAGACAAAATTGCATGTTTGCAAACAGTTAACATGCAAAATTACCTGTATACTATAGAGTCAGTAGGTAACATAAAAGCTCTTAAATACCATTGAACCCGTAGCGGTTTTTTGGTTCAGTCTGCAAAATTGCAGATTGCTTAATTTTTCCTTTGCAATATTGAAAATGTCTCTGCAAAGTGCAGACTGCAGGTGGGTATTTCTAACACTGTATACATATACAACTGTGCATGAGGTATTGACACACTGTACAAGATGTACATGTATATGGATGTATTGCATAGATAAGGAAGTTTTCTAACCTGCCAAGTCAATCAAAGAAAACTTTCCAAACAGTTTTCTTGTGGCCCTGGTAATGAGAAGGTAAGACATCACTTCATTAGCAACAACATTCCCATATCAAGCACTTTCAAAACATGCCATTACAAACCAGGAGGTAACCCTACCATTTTCAAGGTGCATCTCTCTTCAAACATGGGACCTAAAGATTAAATACCAGGTTCAAATCCAGGTTTGGAACACCAACAGTTAGACTGTGACCTGGCTTTATCTCATTGTGTCAAGACAATGTAGTGACCATGCTTTTTTCTAGAAAAATTTAGCATGAGGAAGCAGATCACTAGCATGGCTATGGAGCAAAGCGACTGAGTGGGGGGTTGGCACAGGCTTTTGGAATTTTTACAAGAGTAACACAGTTTCTAATTCTAGAATTTATTGTTATGACATTTCGTTTTTATATTTACACTAGAAAAAGATCATTTTGAGAAAGAATTAATGTTGTGCATGTAGCTACTTAGGGTTCAATCTGAGAATTGATATGAGGGAGCTAGCTTGTTACATGAGGGAGCAGTGCCCTTATTCCCGTTAACCCCTGGTGACTATATGTGACAAGGTTTGCGGATGTTGCCCACCTCTTTCGAAGGATGATCTGAAAGACGGCGTGTGAGCGCGAGGAGTGCTGATTGGCTGAGGTCTGACCGGATGTCCGTGTCCTGTTGCCCTCGGTGATGAGTTTGAGGACGTCGTCCACGGTGGTGACATGCTTCTCCGTCAGACCCACCACCTGGACCTGCTGTTTCCCGTCCTCCAGGACACGCAGCTTGTGCTTCTTGTTCTGCAGGTCAAACACCTGAAAAGACAACAATATTGTTCTTGCTGAGGTCAATGACTAGGACCAGAAGTCTGTCACCATGGTAACTGGTGTTAGGTTACATAATGTTGCAAGTGCTTGTTCTGCAGGTCAAAGGCCTAAAAAGACAACAATATTGTTTTTGCTCAGTTTCTTCCTCTTTTTCTTCTGTTCAAAACAAATAATGTCAATGACCAGGACCAGATGTCTGTCGCCATAGTAACTGGTGTTAGGTTACGTAATGTTGCAAGTGCCATGCAGAACTGAGTTCAAAAGGGTCACCATATATATGAGTGTGTTTTCAATTTCTCCAAGGTGAAAACCAACAAACGACCTGTTAAGTTTCCTTACCTTTCCACCGTAGATCTCAAAGAAGCTGCAGCCAACAATCAGGTCTTGGTTTTTGTATGCTGCAGAGTTTAGCAGCTTGAAGACATCACGAGCTAGACAACAAAAGACAGAGGCCATCAGTACTGTATACTGCGCTGGTAGGGAGACAACTCATCATCTCTGAGACTTAAAAAAGAAGTACATGTGTGTTGTGCAAGAAAAAACGAAAATGAAATAAAATAATAAAGCTCTTAATGACAGATATAAGGCTTTTTCATACAGTAGTTAAAGAACTATTCCATATTTGCTCTCATGCACAGAAAACTTACCAGCGAGTGCATAGATGCCCTTGGATGTGTCCTGGTCCTTACCCTTGAAGTCTCCACCCATCGTCTGTTTAAGACACATAGAAAGAAATAAAGATATGTCAACATCTTTTTTTTACCAGATTACACTAACTAACAAACCAACAAAATGTGATCTACCAAAAGCATACTCCAATGGACCTATCACATTATTACGTCACAGATTGTTTACCTGTTCTAAAGAACTTTCTAGAACGGTCAGTTAAAGAATAAAGATCATTTCAAAGTTTTCAAAGTCAGGTATGTTTGATTTTTGCTGCGTCTAGTTTTGTTGACACAGCATTACATGCCGTAATGGGTGATTTAGTTGTGACATTAGACGAAAGTAGTACTGTATAAAGACCTTATATTAAGGCTAAAGCTAAACAAACGCACGCCGTGCTACGCACCCCTGTACAATACGTCAATTGAGTGACATTCATTGCGGTAAACAAACTGTGACGTAATAATGTTATAGGTCCATTAAAGTAAATATCTAATCTGTTGATGACTGAACAACTTCTGTCAGACTGAACAACTTCTGTTACTGGTGATATTTTTGTTTGTTGTTACACAAAAGTTGACCTACATGGGTTTTGCCACTCCCAGTCTGTCCATAGGCAAAACAGGTGGCCATGCCTCTCTCAAATATGGTCTCCACTAAAGGCTTGGCTGTGTATCTGAAACAGAGGAGGAATTTGGTCTGAGGTCAAAACTAGACAAGATTTACTGCTTGTAAGTATATGTACACAGTTATATGCAGTACAAACTTATACAGACAGGTGGTGCTTTGCAAAAAAAAGCAACAAATGTATGAAGTTCTAGTGACCTGGTAAGGATAGCAATCTGAAACACAAGAAGAATTTGGACAGGTCAAAACTAGATAAGATTTACTGCATGTACAATAGGTAAGTATATGTACACAGTTACATGCAGTACAAACTTATACAGACAGGTGGTGCTTTGTACAAAAAAACAACAAATGTATAACTTCTAACAACCTGGAAAGGATAGAAATCTAACTATTTTTCTAGTTCTCAGTCAGTCAAAACTTTTGACTGCAACAACACTAGAGGAAAGTTGAAAGTACACTTACTACAAAACATACACAAATTAAACATAATCCTGTACCACTTACCTGTAAACTGTTTCATTTGAAGCCGAATCGTCAAAGGAATAGTCAAAGCGGAAGGTGTGGTTCTCCAAGTATTTGGTCAGGTCCACCTTCAGTTTACACTCATGGACCTGGGAAGGCAAAGACAGAGAAAATGTCTTACTGCACATATCAACCTATTTCCTAGTACATGTATGAATAAATGCTAAAATTGGCTGTCAAACTATTTGCTGACTGGGATCCTCATCAGTCGAACTGTCCTGTAACAAGTCTGATAGAAGTACTTCAAAGGAAACTTAAAATTCTACAGGCCCCAATTGTGGAACAACCTGTCACTGAAGTAACGCAAGACTCTGGGACTGGTAAAATTTATTTAGGAATTGTGATGTCATGATCAAAATGAGAGGTGAAATTGTGTGGGTCTTTGTTGTCATTCTGTATCGTATGTGGTACCGTAATCTTGTATAGTTTGTTAATCGTCCTTTGCATGAAAAACAGGTTGCTATGTACCTGAATGTTACTGCTGGTGAAATAAATAATCTGGAAACTAGACGTGAATGTTGGACAATGTGCCAGATGTACAGAGAACTAACTCACCACTGTGTTATGTTTGTCTGGAGTTGTGATGACGTCCACTTCTTTCTTGGCCATCTCCTTCTTATTCAGGGGTCTTTTCCTGACACACACACAAATCTGGTGGTCCTCAATCTACAGCAAAAAAGAAATCATTTTAACTTTACAAGATAACATATCAAATTGCTCTACATCACTTCAAATTATTATCATTTCCCTTTACATCATGAATTCCTCACTCTAATTTTAGTAGTCCAGGAGTCGAGTCCTCAAGCCAATAACCATTCCTTCTTGCGATAATGATGCATCAAATAAAAAATGATTACATACAAAGAGAAATACAGCTACATGTAGTTGGCACTTTTGGTATGTCATTTGTGTCTTTCTAAAATGAATTCAAAAACTGCATGCCAACTCCTCGGTATGTTTACCGCTGTTTGTTTACATTCTTTTTAGGAGCCTCCTAAAAATACAGTGGGCCAGGCGCAACTTATTCTCGCACTGCGCGGAGTTGCTTGAAAAGCAAAATAGCCACGCTAACATGTTGGAAGTTACCGACAATCAAGATGGGGAAATTTAAATCATTTATATTTACAGTTTTGGCGCAAAAATCTTACAATATATCCCTTTAAGACTTACCGGGTCAGCGTTAGTTATAGTTTTGATGTCCAGGTTGGCACGGAAGGCGCGGACCATCTGTAGGAACTCCCAGTTGGGGTTGCCGGGCTCATAGTCCGGGTCATTCGTACGGCGCTTCTTCTCGTCCTCCATTCTCTTCCGTCGCTCCTCGCGATCCTGCTTCAACCTCTCCACCTCCTTAACACAGTTGGAGCGTCGGCGGGCTGTGGGGATGAGAACAACATTGATACAGGGCTGGAAATACTGGGTGCATGTGCACCTTAGTGCACCCAAAATTGGAGCTGTGCACCCAATTCTTTTTGTAGGTTTACGTATGTTTAACATCAAGGTGTTAGAAAAACAACAAAATCATTGTTATAGTACTTGTTTTTAGAAATGAAACATTCTACTTAAAAGAAAACAAAAAAAAAGATAATCCCTACCTACTGATCCTAATTTTTTCAGGACTGAAACAAGAAGCACAACTTTTTTTCCCTAGGCCAAACAACCAGACAAATATATCTAAACAGAAGATATACATGTAAAACCCAGAGCAGGTTGCTTACAGGCTGGGATGGCCTGTTTCTTCACAGCCTCCACCGGCGCGGCGGGGGCAACTGGAGCCGCGTCGCCATTTTGTGCGGGCGGTGCGATGGTCGGTCGTGATTTCGCAGTCGGGACTGTAGCAAAAGGAGAAGTGTTCCAACCAATAAGAAAGTTGCCTGTATACAGCAGTTATGTAAGTATGACTGCAAATTGCATGGCAGTATGAAGTTAGTATGTATGTGCCAGCCCATGACAAGCCAAATTGTTGCAGGATATAATATAGGAACAAAACAGTGTGTTAAAAGTTAAAATCTCTACAAGCATCTATTATTGCAATGAAGACTAGTGTACTTGGTGAAAGTCTAGATTGTTAGCTACTTTGCCAAGCAAACATGATCTAAAATCTGCTGGTAATGTTGGGTTAGTTGTCAATACTAACATCCTTGGCAAGCTGATGCTGTAAAAACTAGAAAGTATTATCAAAGCATAAAGATTGGAAAGCCCTTCAAATGTAAATACATGTACATGGCACATTTCTATTCAATAAATGTGGTTCTATACTATAGTAAGAAGGTAGCAAAATCACAACGTATGCAAGGACAATATATAGGAAAAAGAAAGGCTGCTGGGGTAAAGCAATCAAATTGAAAGGATTGACCATTTTTCCACAAGGATGACTTATGAGGTACGTTTCTTTTTTCATAATCACTCATCAGTTAACTGGGTAACGATTTCAGGAAAATGAGAAACTTTTGTTGAAGAATTGTAGTAAATCAAGAAGCAATGATTAAAAAGTTGCAATTCCGCACAGGAAGCCTGGTACATGGTAGACCCTTGGGAAAAATAATGGCCAATCTCACAACCAACTCACCTGCCTTGGCACTGGAACGTCGAAGAGAATCTGGGGGGGTACACAAACATAACAGGAGAGGGGGGTGACGGGAGGAAGGGGTGTATGTACAGGGGGGTGGTTATGATATGACTCATATTCATCACATGTACGTCTGTTGTTTCATGAAATTAGATCTTTCAAAAAATCTACAAGAAATTTACAAATTACATGCTCCTTGTGTTTTTTAATGTCAGTCTCCTTTACTTTTGTGGTATGGTTGACTTGTGTTACTTTTTTAAAATGCAAGTGTATGGTATGGTTTTAGTGTACAGTTTTCAAGGTTTTAGTAATTTTAATTTTGATAGCAAACCATTAATATAGATCTAGAAGCATCACCTTTAATGAGTCACATTATAACCAGTGTCAAATCAACACCTCAGAAATAGTTCTACCAGTCCTGAACATCCCTATTCTGTAAATCCAGTGGCCCAACCCCATGTGCCTAGGAAATGCCGCTGGACCACAAGACTTCAGAAACAGGGGTGTGCAGGATTGTTGGTGGTTTCTCACCTGTTCTACTAGAGGATCGTCTCATAGTTCCTAAGTAACACGACGGAAAGAGAGAGAGAAGATAGTGCAGAGAAGTGACAATGAGAACAACACAAGGTGAGAGACAAAGACGGCACTACAACAGAGCATTATGTACAGTGTACAGTACAGGTACAACATTGCAGACATGTCAAGTTTTAGCAACTAGAGTTAGTAAGTCAGATGCAAATAATGTTTCACTACATCAAAACTACTTCAGCTAGAAGAACAAAATGTTTTCCTATTGTAAAGAACATGTGACGCAACATACATCTACATGTATACATAACAAATTTCAATATGTATATTCGATAATGAAAATGCAGTCAGGGAACACAGGCAAAGCAATAAGCAGCTAATTCTGAAAATAGTTTCAGAACAAATTTTCCTTTTGGTTGAGAAAAAGTTCTATCACTGGACTACTGTTGTTTTCCTTCAGGGTATGTGTAGATCTACTGAATCCTTATTTCATGGAGCCCAACTGCAGGTATTACTATTAGGCAAAACATAGCAACAAAAAGCAGATGTTCACAAACCATATTCCTCAGGAATGTAATTAGATTACCTGAACTTATAGCAAACCTGGAGGCCCCGACACATTCAGTAGGACATTGGGGACACCCTCTAAGGTACATTCCTGTAGCTTTTAACCACAAGACTTCAGCCCTAGCGGTCAGCAATGGTCAAACTGTAGACCAAAACTAATGATGACCGCTGGGCACATGGTGAAACTGTTCATCTCAAGCTCTTAGCTATAACCAAATGACAAATACTATCTAAGATATCATCCATTCTGCCAAACAAATGTGCAGGGACCTTTAAAAGAACGTTTTTTCAACAACGGTCATTTATGTGATTAATGTAAAAGACATTTCAGACGTGGAAAATCACATTACAAAAGGATTTTCAGCATACGCTTTGTATTTATAATTTAGCAAGAATTTAGACTACATTGATAAGGCTTACAGTTGATTACATTTTCCAAACCCTAATGTCTTTCTAAATTCAAAGTAACCAGTGTCAAGTCTTGTTCCCTTCTGTCTTCTGTTTACAAGAGAGCAAGGAGAGAACGTTGATGTAGAGACAAACAACAAATAAAAGGGACAACAACAAAGGGGACAACAACAAAAGGGGACTGAACACAGAAACATGCCATAAGATTATTAAGAATGTACACATAGCACACAGGATAGATTACTTGGGTTACATTTTAGACTAGTACAGTATTCCAAATAAAAGTGTACATGCAGGAATATTTTGGGTTACACTGGGTTTCAATATTTTGCCTATGTCTATGTTTAACATATAAAAACCCCTTCACATTTTCTTGTATAGACAAGAAGTAGGTAACAGTGGTCGAAATACTTTTTTCCAGTGCTCTGCAATATTGCAGAAGAGTCAAAATTTTGTTCTGCAATTTGGAAATACTTTCTGCAAATACACAAGCCTCCTGTCCATACTACAACCTTCTCAAAGCAATAATTCCTTTTTTACATCATATATAGCTTTGTAAATCTGTACAGTAGCATTACTGGACTGCAGGAGAATTTCAGGTTTATAAGCATGAACTATGGATTGATATGCAAATTAGTGAAGACAATTTTTTGGAAGTCCAAAAGGAAACAAAAGTTAGACAAGTCAAGACAAGGATGATGCAAATTAGTGAAGGAGCTCCAGTCCTGTTGTTTCAGAACAGTCTGTCCCTGGGGCCTGGAAGTTTTAGTTTGCTAAATTGAAAACTAATGAATCTGGAGCCTATTTTTCTTTCTGCAAAATTGCAGATTGTATCATTTTTTCTTCTGCAATCTTGAAAATCTATCTGCAGATTGCAGACTGCAGACAGGTATTTCGAACACTGAGGTAACCTTGACCATAAATTTAACATATTGCCAATTTTCTAACACAGGTTCTTTAAAAGCCCAGAGGATCACTCTATCCGGGAGACTATCACATTCAAGTGTTACACCAATAATATTACAGATGGATGTTTTACGATGGGTTATTTACGATGTTGTTAGTACTCACTTCTTGACTCTTGGTCCCTCGGTGTGATACTGCGGCCCTGCTGTACTGCCATTGACGGTCGAGAAGGCTGGAAAAAAAGACAAAATGTAGAATTAGCTACAGTAAAAAAAAAAAAAAAGATGAAAACAGCTGTAGTCAGACTCCTCATTTTTTTAGCAAACTGTAGACATCAACAGCTCTAGCACTAGCTTTGTAATTATATCATTGTCAAATACAAAATGTAGGCAAGAACAGATGCAGTCTAAAATGGTCCTAGACCTAGAATGAAACATACACAATAGGATAGCACTCACTACATATTGGGGTTCGTCACAATTATCGTCAAGAGGAAAAAACATCATGGTGCACGATCTGAAGTGGAGCGTTTGCGGTGTTTTGGATTTGGTATACAGTTCCAAGCTGTCTTTGAGACGAGAATATTTGAAGCGACCTAATGACTTAGAAAACCCTGCTCATTACTAATTAATGAGACTCAGACTGCATGGAATGTACCAAAGGAGGCATATGGAGGGGGGGCACGATCAATGGGACACACAATGTTGCATTTTTGTCTTTCTACTAAGACTTCTTGAGTATCTAGCAATGTAAAGATAAAAAAATGACAGGCTGACAAAATGAAGAGAACAGCAAGATAATATAATATGCATCTTCCAGACCTCTTCTGAAGATAGCTGCAATTTTGAAGGTGACAATATTTACGGTTATATTGCTAGGCACTTGATTCTGTTATGACGGCAACAAGAGGAGTTGGTAAGAGAACAGGACAAAGGTGTCCAGGTGAACAGAATCAGCCGTGAAGCCAGGCTATGAATAATTTACAACACAAGGACTATCATGTCAGGGATGTCTTATGTTTATACCACATGTCAATCCACCTTAAATGGTAGGTGATCATGAACCTAAGCTGGCTGATCCATAATCCGATTGTACTGTGCTTGAAATGAGGTTGAAAATCATTCTCAGATAACCTGGTTTGTTTTAACTTTATTTAAGTAACCAGTATGTTTCCTTTCATATTTTAAGTTAAAATCAGATCTTTTAACAGCTTAAGTTTAAACACCACCCATGACAATCTGTAGAAAATGTAATATATTGGTAGAAATAGTAGAGAACTAGAGAGAGAACTGGTTGAACCAGATAGAGAAATGCCTTGTATACAATGATGGCTGGTTAAATTTGAAACTCTAAAATATTACCAAAGACTTATGAATCATACATCTATGCTTGTGACAGTCAGTACGAAATGATATGATTGATAGCTTATCATTTTCCTCAGTGTTACTTAAGGTAATGATGCTATAATAACTATTTTATTGGTTTTTGTGCATACTGTTACCTTGGCAGAAGGCTGTTGAACCTCAACATGGGCAACTTGTGTAGCAGGCTTCAGGGCAGCATTGAGCGCAAAGATGTTTTCTACCTCAATCTATGAAGATTAAAAAAAAGGGACAAGTGCTTAAGGAGAACAAGGACTATTTCATGTTTCAAATATACCCCGTATCATCAAATCATTGTTTCTTTTTTTCAACAGACAAAAGCCTTATGGCTTTAATTTATGCTACTTTAATTTCTTGCCTAATACATTATTCAGAATCTACAAGAAAAAGTTAGACAATTACACCCCTTATTGAATCAAAATTCCAGTGCCAATAATATATCAAGATTGACCCCATATAAGTTCAACTGGAACTGAGGCCTAGGGAAAAAATGTTGTGTTTCCTGTTTCAGTCCTGAAAAAATTAGGGTTGGTAGGTAGTTATCATCTTTTTTTTTTCAATATTATTATATTAATAGACTTCTCTAGTGATCTAACTTATACTGTTTAGCAAAGTGAAACTTGCAAGTTGCATGAGAACACTTATAATATATTTTCATATGTATGTCCCTTGCAGGGGTCCACCAAAAAAAGGCTAGGGTTGGCAGTTTTTTTTCTAAAACTATCTTGTATCATAATTCATATCCTACATATTTATGCCATGATAGAATTTGTGGTCCATGTTCTTTGATAATCTAGAGTCGGTCGGGAAACAAGAAACACAAATTTTTTCCTAGGCCACAGCCGTATGGAATACTGTGACATAGTGCAATGTCCTACCTCCTTGCCCTTGGTCTCTCCCCTCTCGAACCATTCTACTGTCACACTCTCCTGTTCATCATTCAACCCACTCACAATGGCTGCATGGATGCGCCCTGGAAAAAAGGATTGGCGATGTCAATGGAACGCATACATTTGTACAATGTATCTAATTCTCATCTGAAATTCTGAACCTTTTGGTAAGCCCACAATACATAAAGCACAATTTGCAGACATGTATTTCCCTACCCTATAATGTATACAGCAATTGGAAATATTATTTTCTGTAGTGTCCTTTTATATATTGGCAATCTGGGTTCTTCCACCTTCTACAACAACATGGCCAGTTTTTGGCACAGACCCTGACTGAAGCTTTGTGTAATACAATAGTAACTGTATCAACAACTATTTTATCCTTGTAAAAATTATTGAGAAGAATGAGGACAATTTAACCATTATCCAAGTGGACCCAACAAGACTACATTTTATTTGTTCATGGAAGTCTGTAATGTCAATTTCATTACTGTACTGCTAAAACCTTTTCCTGATAATAGTATCTACAAGTTATAGACTGGAATGAATACATAAACAAGTCCTTAGCAGGCCTAGTTGGGCCATGAACCTATATGACCTAACCCTTACCCCTTAGCAGTAACCATCACATTGGTATGTTTTAATGTGCATCTATTTCTATTTTAGTTGCTGTCATATATTCTTGTCCACGTAAAATTATAAAAAGACATACACCAGGGCTCAAAAAACTTTTCATCTGTTTTCTGCAATGTGTGATTTATAATATCTACCGAATATTTTTTAAGGTTGTTTTTCAATTAAGTTCTGCATATCTTTAATTTGGCACTTTTAAAGTTTTCCAGCCCTATAGACATATGAGTATCTTAAGAGGACATCTCAACACTTAAGACTGAAGGCATGTTTGCCATGCTACTGATTCGGCAGAAGTGCCACGCGTATCATACAGAAGTATATTTGCCATGGCCAAGTATGATCACTATGTGGGACAAGTCTGACAGCTGACAACCTCCACTGACCCCTGACCTCTTGGGATCAAAGGTCACTTCTCATTTCAGTCTTGTATCTCTCCTTTTCTTCACAGTTGAGTACTAAGTACTAAATCAGGATCAGTGTACACTTGTACGTGAACTTCAGACGTGTACACTGACGTGTACAGTTTCATGGTTGGAAGTCTGTTATAATCTATGCAATCACAAGCCAAAGGGCAAAATAGCATCACACATACAATTGGTTTTCAGTTTCATTTCTATGACACTGAAATTGTATGAAAGAGAGTCCCGTGGTAGAAATACTGTTTTTCAGTGTCCTGCAATATGCAGAATGTCAAAATTTTGCTCTGCAATTTGGAAATACTTTCCACTCAAAAGTCTGGATCTAAACCCATGGGACATTATCTAATACATGAAATTGAAAAATATATGCAAACTTACTTGTATATAGAGTCAGTAATAAACACAAAATTTCTTAAACACCATTTAACCCCTAGCCTGATTTTTTTCGTCTGCAAAATTACAGGTTGCTTAAATTTTCTTGTGCAATATTGAAAATGTCTCTGCAAAATGCAGACTGCAGATGGGTATTTCTAACAGTTAGTAACACTGCAGTCCTTGCAAAATTGCATCACAGGTCACACACTACATTTGGTAATACTGGGTGCAGAATTATCTTGATCAATTGTAACATCATTATAGCCACTGGTCTAGATCTGTTCATCAATGTTTTATAACATGTCACATCGTAAACTGTCTGAGAGCCTGTCAAATGACTGAACGCAATTTATGACTGTTATTCCAAAGTCTAACTCACTGAATGAGTGATCAATGTGTGAAGTAGAAAATTGTTCAGCTTCTTAGACTTTTATAGACTTTTCATGTCAACAGCCTTTCTCCACAATGTAAGTCTACACGTACATGAGCAACTTTCAAGGATTTTGGCATACTGACAGCTATGGTTGAATTTAAGAATTTACTTATAGGAAAACCAGTCCTGACTAAAAACCAACTTCTCATTTGTATGCTATGATAATATACAGACACATGGCAATAACAGTGACGAATTGGTCATACTCAGACTGACTCATTCAATCAATGGTAAAAAAATCTCTGCATTCAGGAGTTACTACAATATACATGTAATTCTAACACAGAAACTTATTAATAGGTCTCACTGCTGACTTGGCTACTGATCATGACTTGGTCTCATGACTCAGTAGTTTCATAGATTGAGTTTTCCTACCATATTTGGCCTAACCAAATAGTGCTCACTGTCAACACAGACATGTGCACTGAATAGTAAACTTCACGTCTGAACGAGATTTCAATTCACATGATCTAAATATACACAGATTAACGCCATTTAGAAACCTGTGTTTGTGTGTGGCAAACTAGGCAACAACTTAATACATAATGTGTCTACTGTTGTCAGGTACTGTTGAAACTATTTGACTTACGTTTGTCTGTTTGTACTGTGTTGTTATGGCACAGAGTTACCTGGCAACAATTTGGCTCACCTAGATACCAGGTGTTGAAAATTCCCACACTCATCAGATCAATATGGAATGGTCCACCACATACTAAATACTTCCAGTTTATGCCATTTCATTTGTTTTCATTGCAAGATACTTCATGCTTAAGTTATGCTGTTTGCTTAAAATGTAGCATAGTAAATGCCATAAAACCAGCATGTCTTGTTTGTAAACAAACCCCTTTGATTTATCCTAAAATCATTGTAATTAATTTATAACATGTACAGTACTTTCACCAGTAGCCAGGAAAACCCTGATTTTCATACTGATGGACAGCCTATTGCTGTGCCAGTTTGAGTCCAGCGATAATCGTATCTACCTCAGCAGCTGTCCCAACAGTGTTTCCTTCCTGTAACATAACTGTAACACACGTCTATCGTCAGCTTAGGTCATATCACAGGGGAGGCTCAGACTCAAGATAGGAGAAGAAGGGAAAGTGATAGATTTTCACTTTTTCTAATCCTCTCTTGGTGGTTCCAGATAAACTTAACCATAGCTCAGAATCTTAGAATACTAGCTATGGCTGGGTACAAGAGAGATTTAGTCAGGAGAAAGTTATCTGAATTTGTAAATAAGTTTATAATATACGATTAAAATCAAGAATGTATCAATATTGTAGTGTCAACAGTCAAAATGTACATGTATAAACTGTATAAAATTTAGTGAAAGTTAGATTTTTTCCGTTTTGTCATTGTGACAGGTCAGAAAAGTCTCATAGATTTCCATTTGTGTGATTTCTCCCATGTCTAATTTTTACACCCCAAATTTGTATTACCATTAACGAATCAGCCCTAATTACTAATCTTCAAGCAAGGTTCCACATGGGGGCCCCCAAGCCCTTTTCCGTAGAGCGTAATCGGCCGTTTTAATTCTACGTAGAGCGTAGACGGACCCTCTAATTCAACGTAGAGCGTAATTGGCGCATTTGGCGTAGAGCGTAATTCGCCGTTTTAATTCTACGTAATGCGTTGTAGCTATCGGGAATTAACCGTAAAGCGTAATCGATTAATTGTGCGTAGAGCGTAATCCAAGCCGCAAACGGGAACTCGAGGCCTAGCAAGTTCCGGGTTGTCGCGGCGCTCGAGGTCTTTCTTGCTCTACCCCCCCTTCTATACAATCGAACAATCCACTAGACTTGTTCCCAGAGCCATACGCAAGAGCAAGGCAACACATGGGAATGATCCCACAGTGCGCTGGGTACGAGATTGACCTTACCATCGGTGACGTACAGGAGGACCATTGGCCAAACGCCACAGATGGCCACAGATGAAGAGGGTAGAAGGCCTTAGAACCACATGACTTGTAAGGCCCAATAGGGGCCCTCAAGACGTTTCTTAGCGGGAACATCATTGCTGATCAACGGCCAGGGTAATGGAGGACACTCCCGAAAAGAGCAGTGTCATCCCCGTCATTGTGCGGGTGATGGGTAATGCGGGACCGTCAGCAATCGGCAGCTGAGTCGTTTTGACAAATTACGCTGTATTGTTTGCGGCCTTTTCTACCTTCGGACGACAACCCCACAAGGCTCAAAGGTCCACTTTTTGGTCCACTTTTTATCTAAAGGTCCAAAACTTTTCTTTAAAAGACGGACTGATTCGTGTCACCAGCAAGGCTGGAATCCGCCGTAGGAAAACTGCTCACTTTGTCATTGAAAAAGTTATCTCTGATTTTTTCTTTGAAACCCTCTAAAAACGCAGGAAATGACATTTCAGAGGGTTCATTTTTCAAAATTTCCCGGGGGAGCATGCCCCCGGACCCCCCTAGGAACCTCGCGCCTACGGCGCTCGTTAATCTCCCCCCTTCAAAATCCTGGCTACGGCCATGTTTAATACCTCCATTGACGGATCGCCCTCCGATCTTTGGGCGATCGACTCGCGGTCAAGTTGGTACCTGCGGTAATACTGAATACCCCGTTTTGTATTCTATACTTTCAATGTATAAGGAAGTGACCGCCGGTTACTACTTTTAATTCAAGTTATGTGACCTCTACATATGATAAATCAAAAGGTTTTCACGCAAACATGCAGTTGCTAGGTGATTGAGTTCTGCATAATGCGTTCGGAATCTTTCGAATTTAGCGTAGAGCGTAGAGAGGCGTCCGGAATTCAGCGTAATACGTAGCCGGCTCTCAAAATTTAGCGTAGAGCGTTGTCGGAACCCCCCCTTGGGGGCCCCCCCACATGGCAATTGAATTTAGGACTAAGAGTTCAGATGGATATTTGCTCATTGCTAAGGGACTCAGGCTAGACACAAGGGATAAATTAGCAATCAAGCACTGAGACACATGCAGCAGGCTGAGCTAACAATGCCTACGGTACATGAGTTGGGTGGTTCTTCAGTCTAATTCCCTTTTTTAAAGACAAAAAGGCAAGGGCAGCAATGATTTTTTTAAAATCAAATGTTATTCAATGGTTATATGATTGATTGACACTGACTGAGCATATGTAACTGTCAAAACATTTTAAAATGTATGTACTCGATATTTACTGTTATGGAAGTGTTGTAGGGTTAGTTTGACTTTGAGCACTTCTAGAAATAAAAAATGTCAACCTCCAATTC